CGAGAAAAGCCGAAAGAAAAATGGCTTCCATTTTTGAACGTACAAATTCACCTATCAGAAAATGGCTACATTACAAAGTGGTACCGAAAGCCAAGTAGTAAAAATATCTTGGTTCATTACCTCTCCTCTCACCTCTCTCACACGAAAAGGGCGCTTATAAGAAACATGTTTCGAACAGCAACCAACGTGTGCACGGGAAGAGAGCAGAGAGAGGAGTCCCGGAACTTGGCACGGCAAATAGCCGTTTCTAATGGCTACGAAACTGTAGCTCAGAATAGGTGTAGAGGAAATCGTAGGCCTCCAAACGACAACTCTAGCGATAGAAGGGTCCCGTTTATCCTACCCTTCATCTCAAATGATATAAGTACAGCTATAAAACGCTGCTTAAGAAGGGCGGGCTTAGAGAATTCGGTGAGCGTAGTTGAAATACCACCGAGTAATCTTAAGCGCCAGCTAGTTCGTAACCGCCTATATGACCGTCTATGTGCAACTCAAAATTGCATAATTTGCCCCAGTGGTAGAGACGGTGATTGCATGAGCTCGGGTATAGTTTATCTGATCTCCTGTAAGACGTGTGGTGACGAATACATTGGCGAAACGGGTAGACCCCTCTGTGTCCGCATGAAAGAACACCTAGCCGGCAAAAATAGACCAAATACCCCGCTAGGCACGCATAGGACCCAGAGACATAACGGGGACGACTTCGAAGTATGTGTCACGATCCTCGCACGCGAATCGANAAATCGTAGGCCTCCAAACGACAACTCTAGCGATAGAAGGGTCCCGTTTATCCTACCCTTCATCTCAAATGATATAAGTACAGCTATAAAACGCTGCTTAAGAAGGGCGGGCTTAGAGAATTCGGTGAGCGTAGTTGAAATACCACCGAGTAATCTTAAGCGCCAGCTAGTTCGTAACCGCCTATATGACCGTCTATGTGCAACTCAAAATTGCATAATTTGCCCCAGTGGTAGAGACGGTGATTGCATGAGCTCGGGTATAGTTTATCTGATCTCCTGTAAGACGTGTGGTGACGAATACATTGGCGAAACGGGTAGACCCCTCTGTGTCCGCATGAAAGAACATCTAGCCGGCAAAAATAGACCAAATACCCCGCTAGGCACGCATAGGACCCAGAGACATAACGGGGACGACTTCGAAGTATGTGTCACGATCCTCGCACGCGAATCGAGAACACAGGCGCGAAAAACCCTCGAGGCACTCTGGATTAATTCCAGAAATCCAAAAATGAACCGCAGGGAAGAATGCCTCATTATCACGCGTGATATAGGGCAGTATATAAAACTGCTTTTCTGATGTGAGGGGCACATTATACTTCCACGTGATTTCTGTGCAGTTGGTCTCTACGTGACATACTTAGTGGAAACCTCATAGAAAGCGGTGAGTGTGCAAAGCTGTGTTCAAAGTGATTGAAATCTTGGTTTGGGGTTTCTTTGTTTGGTTATGGAGGCGTTTGGCCGAGTGGGTTGCTATCAACTTGACCTTTCTAGGCTCTGAAGAAGGCGAAATTCGCCGAAACGTCAGCTTAATCGTGAACAAAGAACAATAACACCTCGCGTTTGCTCAAAAAATACGAACAAAATCATATGACACTGTGTATTATTCTAGGAACCTCGTTATTTAATAAAGCTTTCCCTTGATCCATTCGTATTTATACTTCAATTTCACACTTATTCAGAATCCCTGCGCTTTTGCGAAGAATTTTCCACTTTTTCTTTCCAAAAGTAGTGGCGTTCTTTTGGCATCACATGTAATCTAACGCATTAAAAAAAGGATAAAGCTGTCCGCTTTGATCAATCCCCGAAGGATGCGGCATGTATTCGCCCTCATTGAACATCGTTTGGAAGTGATTGAATGCATATCTGGCCTTTACAGGGAGTCGTGGTGGGATACTGATGTACCGAACCGGTGCTGCTATCCTCCCAGAGAGGTCTGGTACCAATTTGCCTACGCCGGAGGAATGGAGGGCTTGGTGGGCCATGGGCGCAGGGATCGATTTCACGTGTGTGTTGTAGGGTGCCCCCGACTACTACGCTACGTGCACCCTATCTGACGCATTACGGGAGTTATTCTTGATCGTTGGTAGTAGTCGATATTGCAGATTTCTTCGTAAAGGTGTAAATGAAGCACTCTGACTTCCAGTGCCATGACTAGCAGATACGCTTAAAATGATGATGCTTGGTGTGCGCCATCTTTGACATCCTCTTTGAATCAAATGGCAGAATCGGAATTGTGGGCTGTGAGGTTCCGCATTTTTTGTCTTTCCGTTAGTTCTTTGATTTGCTTGCTAGATCTTCCTTAATCACTGGTAGAGTGCAAAGAACTGCTAGCCAATAGCTCTTGTTCGCATATGTGCTCATTCTTTATCACACTTACGGTTTTCAAGCGTTTTCAATTGAGGCAACGAAGGCTTCCACTGGGATGTCTCATCTAGTCGACCCACCATCCCCAGAATGCCGTTTCATTGTATCTATGCCTATTTGACTAGGTTTTCGTTGTGGACTTCTTAGAGAGTGTGCAAAGAATTTCTTTACTACACAAAAGAAAAGTCTCAGTGACCCAAAGTTTCAATAACCGCTCCCGTTTCTATGAAGACAAAAGAGCCTATGTGTAACACACAAAAAGGCTTTTCGTCACGATTCCAATGTAATGTCTCTGCACTCCATCATTCTCGTTTTCAGACTTAATTGTAGCATAACGGACTTTGTTTCTTCACTAACAATAGTTTCATTATAACCACAATGATGATGAGATAATTGCAAAACTCCGGACCTCATGTGCTTGCAGTGGTGACCGAACCCGTTATTTCCCTTTCCGGTAGCTAATGTGTTCACAATCACACCATGTGGGTCCTTCGTTTGACCTTTTTGTCAGCTAGTTTTCTATCTACCAGTGCCATCAGCAATCACCCGTCAATGGGATTGTTCTGAGAAGCACAAATAGGCATCGAACCCAGTTAAGCTGAAGCTCTAGTATAAATCACAATATAGTGTCCTTATTTACTTCCTATTCTTTTTTATGGCAGAGTATGAACTGAAATATAACCACAATAATACTGAGATATTTATAAAACTCCGGATCGCAGGTGGTGTCTGCGGAGGGGATCAAACCCGATATTTTCCGGGGGCTAACGTGCTTACGACCACACCATGCGGGTCCTCCACTTCCACTAAAGGGTAATAGAAGTATCCGGAAAGGGTAACAGTGGGTTCGATTCCAACCATAGACACCTGCCGTACAGAGTTTGCAAATGTCTCAGCATCATTGTGGTTATATTTCATGTCACATCCTGCACGAAAAATGAATAGGCAGTGAATAAAAAGTACTACATACTTTCACTATAGTTTTCGGACCAAAAAAAGCCGAACAAACAACCTGTTCACCCTTATAAAGCGAGGAAAACAAACGTGATTATCGAATAGATTTCACTAAAATGCAGACTTTTCAACTGTTATTGTTCTGTTGATGAGCCATGAGGACAGAATAAAATTGTCGGTTCGAATAATAAGATTGAAATGGCACCTGAAATGAAAAGTGAGGTTGGCACAACTGTGGCACTATTTATCATGTGCAACTCTCCTTTGTTGATCGTTCAGTGACTCTTAATACTCTGAATCACGATGAATAGCATTTGTTCCAACGTTTTCTTCTCGAAGCGAGTCAGTTGATCGCAGGCAAGTATGGTGGCAATGTTCCGATCCTGGAGAGACGGGAGGCTCTGTTGACCACATTCGGAGTCCAACCCGTGCCCTAGTATGTTGAAAGGCATTTCTATCAATGTTCTATCTGCGCACGAGTTTCTACTATTGCGATCCATGAGCTTCTCAAGTGCTGCGTTCATGTTACTACTTTAAGTGTGGGAAAAAAATTAGCCGAACTTATCTTCAAGCAGGAAGAGCAAACGCACAAGAAAAAAATCGCGCTTAATTTTCATTCAGCGGTGACCGATAGACGAGAATTTTCACATCCTTCCGCATTTCCCGTCTTTGTCCTCTCATCGACTGTGATGTCTCTTTGAGCCATTACATACTATAAAAGTCCATCGAAATTACAAACTGATCATTTTTCACAAATTCGTTCCATCGAGAGAGTCCATGGCGGCGTATTTACTTTATCCCTGTTGACAATCTTATATCAGCTCATCGCGAGCATGTTAATGACATCTTTTTAATCATAGCGTCCGTCAAACATTTGAATGGTTGAAGATTAATACTTGTTTTCACGTAGCAATTCCCAAGACCGACTTTCTGTTAACCTCGGCCTCGGTTGATAATCGAATGTTTTTCTTCAATAAGCAGACATGAGGTTGTTAATATAGAATTTATTAGAATACAATAGCTGACGTTTCGGCGGTTTCGCCATCCTCAGAGCCGTTTATTTGTTGTAAGTATTTAAGTTAGTGGATGGATAGCCACCGCACAGAGTATTACATGGACCCATGTATTAACAACCTACTTATTGAAGAAAAACAATGGAATATTTGTTTTTTCACATCATGAGAGATCCTCTTGAGAATGACCAAACGGCCTGCTCAGAGAAAAGATAGAGGATAAAGCTGTTGGCGTTGATAAATCCCCTAGAGAATGCGCCGTCCATTTGACTTCATTAAGCATCGTTAGAGGTGATTGAATTCATAACTGCACTATATAATGACTTGCGATATCCTACCGATTTGTCCAGTTAGTGCTGATATTCTACGAGACAAGTCTGGTACCATTTTACCTACTTGAAGAAATGGAAAGTCTGGTGAGTCTGAGACGACGAATCGAACAGACGACAACGTGTATATTGCATTCTCATCTCTAACTACTAGCCTACACTCGTCCATTGCTTAGGGAAATTAGGAGAAAATTGCATAACTGTGATAGCTACAGCAATGCCAACGATGTCGATATCCTGTATGACCTTATTGCGCTAATGCTTAATTGTCCAGATCATCGCCATCTAATTGGGGTCGGCGAGTGATGGACAGAGCGGTGATGGGCCGGCCTGTCGATGCTCGTCGTCCTCAGCGTCATCTTTGCTTTGATCACATGTTCTCCGCTTCACCACCGGCCGTTCATGGACATTTGATGGCCACTTTCGTTCTGAACTCGCCGACTCGCTTCGCCCAGGTTTGTGTTATTCATAGTCATTGCACACGGCAAACCAATTCAGAGTTACGAAGCCCCTCCCTTGCCACTTCATTTGAGAGCTGTTTTCTCTCTATATTTCAATTTTTCGCTTACTGTCATAGTTTTGTTTTCGTTTCTTTGTCTCTTGCTCTTTAAATTTCAATAACGTAAAGCAATCGCTGAATATTCGAAAGATTGACCTTCAATAAACTTCGGAATTATTAATTGAATTATGCTATTACGAACTATCCTTGTTATGCTAACGTGAAGCTGTTATGACCTGTTCTCGAACTACGATGGCTGAGGTTGTGCAGACGGAAGGTATCGAATACTTCTACTCCCTGAAGAAAGCGAAGTAGTCGAAATCCATGTCATCTATAGTATAGGCAATTTTTGACACTTCAATCACATTAATCATCACACACATCGTGTTGTCGCGAATTTTTTTGGCATCGACCGAAACGAAATGCCACCAGTGCCGTCTGTGCGCAATGTGAACGAGAATGATAGTCACCAATCGGTCGAAGCTTCTCGTGTTGATTTTCGTGAGTATCCTTCCCTCCTCCTTCCCTCCTCTCCGTGTACATTTTGGTCACCATAAATATAATTCCTTTCTAGAATCAAAATGTAGGAATTTCACTAACATATCACAAAAGGTTATGTTAACAATGGTTCCCTTTTTCTATATGTAATATGGGATCGCTGAACAAATTCGTTAATCACAGAGTAAACAAAAGCGACTGCTGTAGTTGATAAGCAAAAAATTGGTGTCTGTTTTGTCACATCTTCTCCAGTGTGTTGCTAAGTTGAATTAGGCTTCAACCGTTGAGCACTCTTCGTCTCCACAATGTCGACTGCAACCTGTCGAGGCAGTCTTTCTAAATGTGTACTATCACCGCGACATGATTGGTGATGAATTTACAGGCACAGTGCCGTGCCTGTAAAGTCATTACCAATCATGTAGCAGTGATAGTTCGGCAGATTAGCAGACGTGATGATGGCCTTTCTGCAAGTTCCTATCCCGATTGAATTCAAATCGTCGGGGACGCCGCCTAGCAAAGACCAGCCCCACTCAGTTCGAATTCCATTTACCTTCGACCTTTCGCCACAATTAGTCAGCGGTAGCGTCTGTGACGCTAGCACTTCGACCGACCGCGGGACTGATTCGCTAATGTCATCGAGGACGCCACCTGTCTTGATTCGATCCTGTCTGAGAACGATGACAGGGCACTCATTGTCTGCTTGGTCCGCTTTAATTGCCCATTCTCTCGAAACCGCAGCATTATCTGGTCACCACAGCAAAAACTGCTCCTCGCCGGGTACGAAAATTCGAATATTTTGGAATTTGTAAAAATTGAAAACTTGCAATTCCTAGGGGCTAAAGCTGTTTCAAGGTTTGCTTACTGAGAAGCGCATTGACACTCCACTGAGTTGCCTCAAACATTTAAGGTATTGTTTTTAGAACTACCCATGGATCATGGAACATGGACTGTAACACAAGAAGTCACTGAATTAGATTCTTATTCAGATTTATCGAATTTCTTTTTATCGGTGATTCATGGCTGGTGTTGTGAAGCGAGCACTCGTCTGCTCTGAACAAATCTCTATTTGTTGTCGTCGACTTCTGGACAAAAGTCCTCACACGGGAAGCTGTGTAACACACATTTCTACCTTATGTTTTGCCTTTGGACAAGCTTTACTTTTGTTCGTCGGGAAATTTATCAATGGGTGCTCCTCATCCATGTTTGCGTGTTTTGCTTCACCACGAAAAAAAAACATTGCCCAAAATTCTCGAAACGACGGAATAGACGAGATGACTAGTTGTGATGAATCAGATGCGTGGTAGACGGGACAGCCCTTCCAACTCGGCGTTGTAAACCTGTGGGATTCGGCTCTATTCAATCCTGCCTATTCAGCAAGAATTTCTCATGTGAAGCCGATCAAATGTGGATCGTCTGCACATCATCTTCTTCGGTTGCGAGATTAAAATGGCTAAGATTGTCTTGGTCGCTTCTTGTAGATCGCTTCCTTCACGCCCATGTGAAATTTCTGTGTCTTCCACTACGACTTTTCCGACAACCATTTCATTTATTTGGAGTTCATATTTGAGAAAAGTTTCTCGTCTGTTTGCCTCTTCACATTCTTTGTGGACAAATCCTTTTATAATCCTAAGGAATATTGCGCCTCATGAGCCATGCGTTCTTCGAGAAGCGTTGATGATTTGCCGTCGAATATCGCCATGGCATCTCCTCCATCGAATGCCCCGTTCCGTGCTTTCCTCTGTCGACTTTCCGATCACTTCATTGTTCGTCATCTGGACGATAGGCAGGCCGTAAATCCAATAAAGTAGCCATTTTAGCAAATCTGCATCTATGTTTATTTCGTTGAATTCTTCTGAAATTCAATGGTCAATCCCAATAAAGAGTAGGTTTTCTTGATTAGGTGTTCTTAAGCAAGAATAATTTATTTCTCGGCTGGATTTACTTATTCAGTTTCCTTAGTGTCAAGCATTTTTTTTATTTTACTTGATCCGTCTTCGCGTCTTCTGTGGGCGTCCCAGTGCTTCCCATATTCGTTTCCTTTACTTGCATCCATTGCCTATGAAGATCTTACAACTTTTAAGTGTGGATTCGGTTGCTGCTTGAGGATTTCCATTTCATCTTGAAAGTCGTAGAATGCTGGTTGAGCAATTCTCCCTGGAGTCCTGTGATAGCCGGGATGGAGCGTTCCTAATAGGATTACATAGAGTTCCCAAGATCGACTTTCTCTTAACCTCGGCATTGGAATATGAATGTGTCGTTTTCTTGTTCAGCAATCGCGAGGTTTTTAAACAGCATACATTTACTTCCATAAAAACACAATACAATACAACGCTAGCTGACGTTTCGGCAGTATCGCCTTCTTCAG